TTTTTTTTTTTTTTTTTTTTTTATGGAATCTGACAACCTGGCCACGGGGCTGAGATGCCCTCACTGAGGGCACACTCGCACTAACACTTCCGAGAATGTGTACAGTTGCAATCACGCCCAGAGCTTTGTTTCGTTTTCACGGCCACAATTTTTTTTTTTTTTTTTCTATTTTTGTTCTTCCCGTGAGAGTATCATAAAGAAATGGAGTGGGACCCAGTCTCGGCAAAACTCGGAGCGCAGTGAAAATCAGGGTGGGCAAAAACAGGCTCGGAGGTGCTTCTTTCTTTTTCTTTTCTCTTTGTTTTAAAATTTTTATAAGATTTGTTTTTTTTTCCTCCTTGTTTTTTTCCTCTCTTCTATGAGTAGGTCGTGGAAGTGAGCGCGCTGCCAATGGCTCTAGCCTCGGCGCGGGTCGGCATACGTGTGGGCCGAGCCTCGGACTTCAGAGGTGGGCCAAGTACTGGTGGGTAAAAAATTGGAGCCATACAGAGGAGTTTATAACGGCCCCTGGGCAAGGATGACACACATAAATCGCGAAATGGTCTATAATTTGGTCCTCTGCATCTTCGGGGTGTGCTGCTGCGCCCTCCGGGTAGGGCCTCCGGGTAGGGCTTCCATCGAAATACATTTCAGCCCAGAACCTACTTTTTTGCGAGGGAAGCCGGGATGGGCATCTAGCGTTGTGATAAGAGGGTTGGGGGAGTCGCAGATGTTCCTCTTGGCCGCTGCCATTCCGTGCGTGTCGCCAGTTGGACACGCGGTCGCAACAATTCGACGTGACGGGACCATCTTCTGAAGCTCGTTCTCTTGCACGGCCGTCAATACCTGGTAAGCAAATGTCGCGCAGCATCGCAAGCTTTGTGTTATGGTAATCACTTTTGTCTTTCCGACGTCCCGGCTGCCTTCTTCTACTTGTTAAGGCAATCACTGTAACCTACTTGGGGTTGCCTATCTACTACCTCTGTGATGCTGATATGGTTTTCTTGGATTTGAATGTTAGGAAGCTGTTGAGAAGGGACTACTGACCACCAGGTGTAAGCCTAGTGGTAGTTGGGGCTGTAGAGAAGTCTCATCAGCTGTGCCGAACGGTGTTAACGTGAGTGTCTAGGGTTTTGCAACAGCAGCCATTCGCTCGTCGGTGAGGCTACCATTAGGGAAACACTTTATGCAGTTGAAACCTTTCCAGGAGAATCCTCGGTCCGCTCTGTATCGTCCGACATCGAGAAACATATATGGTTGAGCTATGAATATTTGGAGGCAAGCGGGAAGAGAAGTGCGTAATTGCACACGGACGGATAGAGGGGTGTAGTGGTGATTGTGACAGTGGTCTGATGGAAGTAGACGGTGATGATGGGAGGAGAGGGAGAGGACGTGGAGAACCTGACGTGGAGGGAAGGCGAAGAGCACAGGCGAAATGGGAAGGCTTCCAGGGGACCAGGAAAGCGTCACGCATCCCGTGAAGAATCGGTGTTTGCTCAGTTGCTTTTGAGGATTTTACGTGCATGCAGGGACGTGGAGTTGGTGCAGTGAACCGGCTACAGAAGCGACGGTGGTGATTTTGACCAAACGGAGCAGAAAGTTAATGAATCTTCGAGTGAATCGTACGACGTAGAGTAAGCGATGCTCGTCGGAAATCGGACCTAATTACCACTTGCTTGATTAGAATAGCTACGAGCTGTTGGAAGTTACGGTGCTGATATATGATGATCCGACTGGTGTCGGCGTGCAGGATTTTCCTCGTCTGACAGTGCAGGGAGCGATTCGTCAAGATGGTGAGCGCAAGGAAGCCGGTACGTATACGTCGAGATGCATTGTGCGACCTTGTTTTCGCAGATGGACGGGGGCTGTAGCGAAGCGTAATAATGAGAAAGGTGGATGGGCGATGGGATCCAGGCAGGGAACAGGTGGTGTGAGGGAAATGGAGTAAGTGGAGGAGAGAGAGGTGGCGTGGTAAGGAATATGAGGAGGGTGGGTAAAGCGAGAGGTGTCGTGGAAACGGTAAGACAATCGACCAGGTGAACTTGGCATGTCGTACAAGAAGACCGGAGAGGGTTGCCAGTGGGAATACCGGACGTGAGGGTGGGTAAAAGTTAAAATGAAAGCGAACGGTTATGGAGGAGGGCGATGAAGTCCAGGAGGGGATTCAGAGAAGTGCGATGTTATGGAAAGGAAGGGGAGAGGATGTCGGAGTGAAGGTGGAGCGATATGGGAAAAAAAGCAGAGAATCGGCATGGGGGAGGGGTAGGGTTCGTGGTGATGGATGAATGGCCGGTGAATTGTGTAAGGTTAGGTGGTGGATGGACCAATCGAAATTTTGATTGCATGTGAGGGATGTCGGGGCAGAGTTGTGGGGTGTGTGAGTCATTTGTTTATGTCCAGGAAAATGGGTGGGTTGTTTTTTCGCCGCAGAAGGGATTTTCTAATAATATCACCTAATTAGATATAAAGAAAGAACGAATTTAGACGATATGGAATTATCTAAATGGGACGATGTGGTGGTTGGGGAAAGAGAGGGAAGACAGGAAACAGTTGAGTATGGATATGAACATTTTAGACAAGGGATGGATATATGGGGAAGGGACGTGGAAGGGTGTTATTATATTGTCAATGAGCGATATCATCCCCTTTGAGGGTGATAGGGTTAAAGGTCAGTTCCCATGATGGTAAGGAAGAAAGCAATGAAGCGCGGAGGGAAGGCGGAGCTAGGATTCGTGGGATTGGATGGGAGGTTAGGTGTATTCGGCGGAGGGAGCGAGAAAGCGGGGGGCCGAAGAGCAGGAGCGGCAATCATGGAAGATGTGGAAGGGGGATGGCGTGTGCAAGCATTTCGGTCTATCTTGGTTCGTTTCCTGCGTCGATTTGACGTGCGTTCGATATTTTGTTGTGATGCTGGTGAAGTTCGTTGATCGATTCGATTCAGCGAAATGGAGTGTTGGCCGGTTGTCGCCGGCTACCGGTAGGAGGTTGGTTGTGTTATGGTAACGAGCTATTTCGGGATGACAGTGGTGTCTGCGGTTGGGATGGGTATGACTCATTTGCGTTTTCTTCGTGGGCTGGATGTTCAACATGAACAGAAGAAGGTCCACGAGAGCATCAACAACAGGCTGGCTCTCGTCATGAAGAGCGGGAAGTACACACTCGGCTACCAGACCGTACTGAAGTCTCTCAGGGGAGGGAAAGGTATCCTTTTTCTGCGTCGCGAATAGGGGTGTTGAATAAAATCCGGTGCGCAAACCCTAAAGGTTTAAAGCTGCGAACGTCGTGACTGTCTTGAAGATTTTTTCCTCAATGTTTGTGAATATCGGACTCCCGACGGTCGTTGTCTGAGCTGGGCGGCGATCATTGTTCGGTCCATCGTAATCGTAAGCTTGTTGGGTTCCCCGTTGTCGTCACCTCGACGAGAATTCTGTGCAAGAGCGCCCGGGTTGCAAGCGGGTTTCCAAGATTTGAATCTTGCATTCGCTGGTCGACCTGCATGTGAATGGGGGTTTAGGCGAGTGAAACTGAGGTAACAGTATGTGCTTATTGATTGAAATATATTTACAGAAGTATTTGTCGTTGCTGTGTTAAGTTCTATGTATCGTTGTGCGCTATGAAATGTGTTCCAGTGTCGTATTATAACACTATATCTGTATCAGCGTGTTGAGTTCGGGAGCGTGCATGCACTGGGGTGACGTTCTTTTCTTGCCGAAATTTGTCGTCTGGTCGACGAAAGATGGAGGTACCCGGGAGTGGTTGATTGGCAACGTATGTGCTTGTGGGGCTGTGAAGAATGTTTTAGGGTTCAGGAGGAGTGAAGCGGGTTATGGGATGCTGTTTGGGAGAGAGTAGGTAGGTGCCTCGGATAGTGAAGCACCTGTGCGGGCTTGAGTGGATAGAACGAATGATGGATCGTTGATATGGCATGGGGAAAAGCAGATGAAGCAGATTTTGAAATGCCTGCCGTCTGCTTGGGACTTGGTAAGCGAAAGTGTGGAAATTGAAATCAGCGAACACAGGTGAGTGGGTTGTTCTTGTGAGATTGAATGACTGCCGATAAGTGTGATCGAAGAGTGTCGATGAGTGGTTGCGTCCTTGACAATGCCGATGGTCTTCAGCGAAGCTGGTCATCATTTCGAACAACTGCCCGCCCCTGAGGAAGTCAGAGATTGAGTATTATGCTATGCTGTCCAAGACCGGAGTTCATCACTACAGCGGAAGTAAGTTTTGCCTTCTCTATCTACCCACGTATTTTCCTATTTATCTATCTGGGAATTATTTTTACGCTGTGGCTTTTGATGTCTGCGCTTCCATTTTTTATCTAATTGGCTCGAGTGGTCGAGTACCATGAGGCTGTTATGATGTCGCCGTATTGCGAAGCAGAGTAATGCAATATCAAGCAAGCTAACATGTCTCTGCATTTCTCTCAGAAGCTTCGCAGTTTTACAATTCCACTGATGTAGACTTTCCTTGAATTCCTGTTGTAGGTCGGCGGATTGGCCTCGCGTCAAGAAAAGTGTGGTTCAGAGCAGTGCATTTTGTTCAATCGCGAACTCAATTTGTAATCTCGTTGATATGCGCTGTTTCTCGAGTCTGAAATCGTCGGACTTCCCTCGCAACAGTAGCATGTAGTCGTTTATCCTCTATATTTCTGGTCTAATCACGAGTCTCATTATTGTTGCTTACTGTCGCTGCGTCTATCTCTATCCTCTATACTCGATCTAATCGTGGGGACTTGTTATTGTTGTTTGGCTTTGGTGTTTTGCAGATAACGTCGACTTGGGGACTGCTTGTGGCAAGTATTTCCGAGTCTGCTGCCTCAGCATCACAGATCCCGGTAAGTGGTGCTTGCGTGCGTCTGGTGTTGTCGACCGCCCATCAGGTTATGAAAGGTCTGATCACGTCGTAGTCCATGATGTTGTAGTGCATGTGCTATGCGTGATGATTGCTAACGATGAGTATGGGGAGTTCAAGGGGGCGATGGCACAAAGCAACATCTCAATAATTATTTTAGGGCGGCAACTGGTATGGTGTTAGTGTGGGTGTTGACCACCCACCAGGTTATGGAAGGTCGGATCACGTGATGGGCCACGGGATTGTATTTAATTTAAGGGGTGGTTAATGCGAATGATGAGCATGGGGAAAAGGGTCGTGGCGCGTTCCATAATTATTTTAGGGCAGTAACGAGTTTGGTGGTGTTACAAAGAGTGTACCTAGTGTGTGTGCTCTTACGTGCTCCTTGGAATGGTATTTGCGGGTTGGTGGCTGTGGCGTCGAGGTGTAAAGGTCGTTTTTAGGGATGTTCGATATGGTAATTGGAGTACGAGATTTTCACACCGTCCGTGGTTGACGTGTCGTCCTTGGAATGGAATTTGCGGATTGGTGGTTGTGGCATCGAGGTGAAAAGGTTGATTTTAGCGATGTGTTCCAGATGTTAATTGAAGCAAGAAATTTTCACATCGTCCATGGTTGACGTGTCGTCCTCTCCCATGTCCTTCTTGAATTATCGTGGATCAGATACGAAACTGATCTGAACTGTTACTGGTTCAATCTGTTGGGAAAGCATTAGATATATATCTCACGGACAATGGATTAGATATATATCTCACGGACAATACGGTCGCACTTCTGTACGTTGCGGACGACGGCGTACTCGCAGGCGTCTTGAGAGTAGAATCGTCGGTGCCCCTTCGTTGGTGCTGGTCCAACGTGTAATCAATCTTATTTGTTAATTTCGCTCTCTTTATTCGGTCTGGGTAAAAAAACGAGCTACCACTGTCTCGCTGCCGCGATAGGATCTTACGACGGTCTCTCTTTATCCGCAAGAGAACGTGGTCGGCGACGAAATGGAATCATCATCACAGTGGCAGACTTTTGCTCCGCTCCCGTGTTCTTTCTCATCAGCGAGTGTGATGTGGAATCATTGGTGAGTTCACTACCGTCTTCACCCGTATGCAACGCCCGGTACATTATAATATGTACTGGAAGTTCCGCTAAACGCAGACCGGGCGTTCTATTCGGAAGAACGGTAGTTTTTTAGTGATCATGCTGAGATCATGACGACGTGTTTGTTGCTTGCAAAATTGACATGACATGGTTTTTGCTGTGTGCGTTTGTCGCTTGCGTTTTGCAGGTGACTCTGACATCATTCGTTCCATGCCATCTGAGTAAGAAAACGATGATGGGTCTCCTCGAGTTGTGAACGCAAAAGTATGGGTGAGGGCGAGCGACGTCGACGCCTGAGCAATAGGGATCGCCGTAGGGAGCAACTGCGATGACGGCGGAATCGAACGTGTGATGATGACGGGTTTGTGGTATTTGGATTTGGTAACGGTGTTATCATCTTCCACGATGTTTACAGGGAGAGGAGGGAGTATCCTGTTCTGACAGGATGATGTTTTTGGTACAGTTTTCGTTTTGAATAGAGTCGAATTTTTTTACGGATACGGATCAAACACAATTTAACTGTGGCTGGCGCTTGTTCGGTTGAAGAGCTGGTTTTCATTGAGGCTTCCTTTCGTCAGTTGCTGCCGTTATTCAGCTCGATGTACGCTCGCAGTTTTAGCTCTCTTGCCCTTACATCTTTTTATGGTCTTGTCGATCCTCGAAGGTTATTCTGATTTGGTTTATTATGATAGGACAGTATCTCGCCTCGTTGTTTTTGTAAAAAAAAAGACAACAAAATAGAAAAACATCTTGCCTCGTTGTCAGGCGTAAGCATCTGAACTTGGGTATTCTGTTCGTTTACCTTCTTCCCCCGAATGCAACGTACGGTTATTATAGCTGTATTTGGGTTACCTTTCAGTCTAAATACAGCTGTAGTGACTGGACGTTGAATTCGGAGGAAGAACGTGGTTGAATTGTCCGAGAAGCGGAATCCATATTGGGAATCATAAATAATTGAATGAGTAATGAATTGCTTCGGCTTAATAATCACAAACAGGCGTTTCAAAAGTCACCTGGGTCTATTCTTTGGCCACATGCGTTTCCACTAAGTGAGCATATCACACAAGTGAATTTAGTATGGAATAACGTACGAATTCAGATACAGCGCGCAACTTTGTTTGTCGGGAATGTAGATCTGACAAGGAAGCAATTTGACCTTAAACATTGGCGTCACAGTTCGGCCAATAGTGCCTGCTGCTGCTCCTCTCCTACTGCCCCATTCTTCAATCCCCTTCGTTTTTTTTCTATCTTAACTCCCTGCTCGCTTGTAGGGCGTGCACTTCCTGTTTTGCTTTTAGTCGGTCGCTCCTGCCACTGTCTCGAATAGGCACGGTTATCACGCTTCCCTCCTTTGCTGTACCTCCTTTTCTCCTTTTGTCTTCCTGCTCGGGTGCCTCTTCCGCGCCGCCTACCTCGATTGCTCGCTCATTGCCCCCTTCCGCCTGATTCCTGTCATTGGTCACCCCCTTCTTCCTCCTATCAGATCCTCTGTCCCTTACTATTCCCGTTCGGTTCAGTCCCGCCGACTTCCTCAGTTTTGCCCTCCCGCCCTCCTCTCTCCGATGCTGGTCTTTTGGTCCCCTCTCCTCTTGCCGCCCGTTGCGTCGACCCCCCCCGTAAGTACCCTCTTCGCCCCACCAACCCAGCGTACCTGACTTCTCCCCTCTTCGCCCCACCARCCCAGTGTACCTGGCTTCTCCCCTCTTCGCCCCACCAACCCAGTGTACCTGGCTTCTCCCCTCAGCTCGCCCCTGTCGTCCCACCGTAGAGGTAGAGGAAACAGTCGTTCCCTTCCCAGCATTGATCTCTTTTTGTTTTCCCTCAAACGAAATTCTCGGAAGTAAAGAGTTTTGCCTGCGCTCTCCTCTCCTCCTCTCCTCCGTACCTTCGTCCCGGTCGCTCTCCTTTTCGACCCCTTTTTCGTAATGTTACGTTATCCGGAAAATGACAAGCAATTGATTGTTCAGGTCGGTCTCATCACTATGCGGTGGTCGGAGAGGGGGAGCATGGACCTAGTTGCACAACCTAGATATCGCATGGGTGGTCACATCCTTCCCCTTACCTCTTTCAAGTGCATGGACGGAGTGTGCTATGGTGATTGCCACTACGACGTAGAGGCTAGAGGATAAAGCTTATAAACAGTAAACCATAATTTTGCCCCTCTACCTTAGACATACTCCTAGACCCCTCTCTGTTTGCCTGTTGTGGTTTGGTAATGGCTGTACTGTTGTTAACCTAGAGGTTCGAGTCTACGGTAGATGGACGGCCACCATCGTACTGTTTTTAACCTAGAGGTTCGAGTCTACAGTAGGACGGCCACCACCCGCCCCTCTCCCCTTACATGGCACCCACATCCCTTCCCTCCCTGGTTGCTTTATGTGGTTGCTCATGGTTGTATTCCCCAGTACGTGATGGGGGTAACAATCTGTTCTCTGTAGTTCATCCAAGCTCCCGAAAAACTAGAGCCTTACACTTAGTGCTAAGACGTCTTGCATACGAAGATCCCGGCAGAAGATTTGACTTGTATACATTTAGAATCCGGGTGCGTTGTGATGGGGGAAAGACGGTAGCAGAGCGTAGACGGAACGTCCTCGTAACAGAAAAAAACGAGAGTTTGCAGAGGTTAACAGTTTTCGACTTTTTCGGCACGCTTGACAGCATCCCGAAAGCGTTTCCATCTTGAGCCGAGCCCTAACATACAAAAACGCGCACGTTTACATAAAAGCGCACACAAAGGAGCAATATTTGTGCATTCAGACTGTGTCATGCTGTCTGCGCAAAGGATGACAGTACTGGCGCCTGTCAGTTATGGGAAGATGACTGCAGCTCCAGCCCGGGCGACAAAATCACATGCCGGTCCCTAATATTCGTGCGGTGTTTCCTGTGCAAATAATTCACGGACCCTTTGGGACAGGCGGTAGTGTGCACATGGTAGGAAATGCTAACTCTCTCTCTCTCTCTATCACCAAGTGGCACCACTCTCTCTCTCTCTCTCAGGTAAAGAATGTGGATGTGCAATCACAATCTTTACAGCGTTTGGAAAGCAATCCTGCCGAAGCTTTCTCCTCCGTCCTATGTGGCCAGGCGGCGAACCTCCCTTGTATAAATTCGGATGGAGTAACACGGATAGTGAAGGGGAGTCTTCAGAGGATGGTGGCTATGCCATGCCGTTATCTCCACGCACACAGCCGGAGTCCGGTTAAGCACGCACACCGAGCAATCTCTGCTGCGAATGCTATGAATCCATTGTCAGTGTCGGCCTCTGCCGTGACAACTGCCTGCGACCCATGATCTTGCACTCAACCCCTCCCCTCCTCCAGGGGGCACCTCTCCGCCTGATTACTGCCCCCCAATCCCCTTATCGCATGCGCAGTATGCTATTGTGGTGTGGATATGCTATATGCCTAGATAGGTGCGAGCATTAGTCTGCTTTCCTGGTGGCATGCCAGCAATATGCCGTTTGCGGTGTCAATGCTTTCGGGAAGATGTCATGGAAAGTTCGTATCTCCACCGCGTGTATACTCCGCAGCGTTGGCCACACATCTGCTTCAACAGAAGGGAGAGCGGTTGCGGACCAATCTTGCAACTACTGAACATCCTTGCTCTGGGTCAGCCCTAGTCGTTGCCCTACCCATAGAGAGGGAACAATATAAACTGCTCATACCCAGGAAACTTGCTCAATTCTCTCTGTGATGATGTCTCAACTGAGATTCGACGAGAACGTGAATCGCATGCTTTGTGTCGTGAGGGTTATGAAGCCGTAGCCTATATGCAAGTTTCTGCTTGCATTCGGCATCGCATTGCATGGCATACACACATGACAAAAGCTACGTGGGTCGTACACTGCAGTCATGTCCATTTTGTAGATGCACTGGAACGGCGAGTCTATACAACTGCGGTCGGCGTGCCTGTGCGGTCTCATCATGTAGGAACCACGTAGCTTGTGAGGTCTGTGTATGCCATGCCATGTGATGCAGCAAATCCACGAGTGAGATTTGGATATGTTTCCACTGTCCACACCTGAAACAGTCCTGTCCGATCTGTAGGTGTGGCTGGTTAACAAAGGCAATAGCATTTCCGAGGCTCCTACTGTCACTGTCGAATAGTCTGCTCATGTGTGACCATCGAGAACCGTGTGAAATTCGGGTTTTATGTCTATTGTGTCCATACACTTCTCTTCTCTACGCCCTTCTCCCTCCCGTCCCTACCGTCGTATAGAACCTCAGAGCGTGCTCCTTCCTTTCCTCCCTCGTTAACTGCCGGCATATGCGTGCGAATGCGCATGGTTGAATCACAACGGTACTACTGGAGTGCGTCCAAAAAAGCAAACCTGGCGTTGGCCTCGTTTTTGGATAGCATTGCCAGTCATTTTGCTCGGAAGACGAAGCTCAGACATTCAAAAGACGAAGCTCAGACATTTAAAAGACGAAGCCCAGATATTCGTGGCTACATGTAAGCCACTTTTTTATTCTTTTCATGGCTAGGTAACGGATTGGTGGTTTAAGAGGACAGGACATGGAAGGCGAAGATTTGAAGAAAAGTGAACAGGTCTCGCTTGCCTCCTTTCATGACGTGCGAGTGGGCGGTTAAGGAACATGGGGATGTGGGCTCCTGGTTCTAAAAACCAATATCGACATGCCCAACCTTGTACCTGAGAGGCACAGTAAAACGTAGGCCGTAATAAGAAACAGAAGCCAAAGGAAATATAGTTAAGAAATGTCAGCTATAGCCAGTGCTTGCTATAGCGGTAGACTGTTTCGTTTTGGGAATGGTTCACATCTCAATTGGTTTTCGTAGTCTGTAATGGAGGTCAAGCGGTGAAAATCTATAACACAGACATGTGTAAATCAAAGTTTTGTGGAACAGTTTGGCATAGCTTGCATTTTTTCAGCGGAGTTGTCCACAGGGAACATGACAACACACGTACATACTTAGTCTATACGCATGGCCGCTTGTGGTGACGTTCTTGCTTTTTTTGGCCTGCGACCCATATGCCATTTCTCGTGGGTGTATAATACACTTACCTTGAGGGCATGGGTGCACACAATGTAGTTGGTATGTGTGTGAGTGATGAGCAAAGGTTTCATCGCCCAGGTTCAGAAGTGGGGTGGAGAGAGAGAGAGAGAGAGAGACCTGCAGGGACCATTGCGTGTTGGTTCGTGAGCGTATGTGTATGTGTGTGAGATAGAACTGCCAGCAGGGACCATCGCGGGTGCATGCGTGTCCTGCGAGAGGCGCATGCGTGTGTATGTGTGTGAGAGAGAAAGCTGCCAGCAGGGACCAGCACGGGCGCGTGCGAGTTTTTTTGCGTGTGGGCGAGAGAGATAGAGAGAGAGAGAGCTGTGTGTGTGCGGCACAAAGCCAGAGCAAGAGAGAATCACGTAATGTGTCAGATGCCTCTCGTCTGAACTTGAGTGGAAAAGCGGCGTTTTAAATTCCCCCGACTGCGGCTGGCCTTTTCATTTTACCCGGGGCCAGTCAGCCAGCACCCCCTCCCCCCCCAAAGAACAAAAATGCCCCTGAACGATCGTTGAAAGCGTCCAGGGGCTTAAGACCCAGCCCTGATGGGCTGTGAACGATGAACGCTCAGGCACGGCTTGCATGTGTTGATCTACATCATCCTTGCAACGTATCTCATTGAGGACAGACTGATTCTTGAGCCTCTTCTTGTCTCCTTTGCGATCATCTTCAGTGAACACACTTAATGTCCATTAATATTTTGTTTTTTTGTCTACTCTCCATCTCTCTTTTCTGTGTTTATACCCTCGCCCTTTACTCCGCCTCTTTTGCAGAGGGTACAAGCAGGACATCGTTGCACACAGTGATACGGACCCGGGGGATAGCCTTGTCGGGCCCTCGACCCCTAGGCTTCCTTCAAACTGCACCATTGCTACGCAGTCACTGCATGTTGTCCTCGGCCCCCGTACCTGCTGCTTGAGAGTTTCATCACCGTAACCGATAGTGCTATGCCCAAGGTTGGCATT